TGACCACTTGCTATTGAATAACTGTTTAGGGTGCCCATGCTCCCAGCAAGTTTTAATTGGCTGTAGCTCTTCATCTGGTGGTGAGAGGGCACTGTGAGATTTCCTCATTCACGCTGGCATGTTAACTGGTGTTGTCATTGTTCAGGTCTTATTTCGGCAGCCATATTGTTGTGATCTCATGGGTGCAATCTCCCCGTTGTATTTAGAAATCTCCATATTGCAGCGACTTCTTGGTCTTCTGGCTCTTTCAGTCTTTCTTCACCCACTTCCTTTATGTCTTCTGAGTTTTTGGTAGGTATGAGGGTTGTGTTCTAGATGTATCAACCCCATAGGTGGTGCTCTCTACATTTTGAGTAGTTGTCTCTCTGTAGTGGTCTCCATCTGCTGGGATGAAAGCAAACTTCTTTGATAAGGGGGATGGCCACAACTACCTATGGGTATGAGAATATGTATTCATACTGTAGTTATGCTTATACTGGCGTAGGAAAGTGGCAGTAGTAGGTTCTCTTCAGAGGAACATTTTAAATAGTAAAGTTATTTTTAAATTTTTGAGTTGTTTTGTTTCTCATTTAGGAAATTGGTTCCTACCTTTAAATAGTTCCCAAACAATAATTGTTTCCTATTTGTTTTATTTTAAACAAAGCCAACAGTAACGACAACAACAACAACAAACCAGATCAGTCTTACTTTTTAAATGAGGTTTTGAACACTCTAGGAGCTTGAGACCCTGTAGTCTGAGGTGTGATTCTGATTGATTTTGACACGGGAATATGTCTTAGCACCTTTTAGTAGGTGCCCCTCCTTTCCCCCTGTCATATAAAAGATCCCTTTGGTGGAGCACAAATCACTTCCACAGCTGCTTAGGTTACAAGTGGTCAGAGTTTCTGGCCAGGAGTTGGTGGCTCATGCCTTTAATCCCAGCATTTGGGAGGCAGAGGCAGGCTCTGTAAGTTCGAGACCAGCCTGGTCTACAGAGCGGAGTCCCAGGACAACCTCCAAAGCAATATAGAGAAACCCTGTCTCTAAAAACCAAAGGAAAACCAAACCAAACCAAACAAACCAAAACAAAAAGCCCCCCAAACCCCCAAGTGCTCAGAGTTTCTGGACACTGATGCCTGATGTGACATCCTGGAGCACACCCTGCCTGCTCTACCTTAACACAGAGTTTTCCAAGCAGTCACCCTAAAGCATTCACGTCTCTCCTTCATCTCCTTCACGCTACAGTTTCCCTGCAGGGAACTGTAGGGAACATCACAGCAGGGCCAGGTCTTTAGAGATTCATTTTGTGTGTCCTTCGGGGCATTGAGTTACAATGACATTTGTAACCAATGTCCACAAGACCAACTACCCAGGGCTGCTGGCTGCTTTGCCCATCTGTTTCCTCCTGTTGCTCTTTGCACTTCGGAAACACTTGCCATTGCTCCCATTCTGACTATGTTCCCATCTGCTGGCTTTTGCAACTCATTCCTCCTTCCTGCCACTTACCTGGGAGAGCTGTGTAGCTCCTCTGAAGTCCATTCAAAACTCTCTTTACCAAAGGGAGCCTTCTCCACTTACCTCTTCTGATGGACAACTCCTCTTGCTCATGCAATTTTTCTTCCTGATAGCTATCCAGTATATTTTATTTGTTACCTCATGTCCCACCCTCTGGAAGGTAAGCCACTACCAACAAACACCCTGTTGGTTTCCTTCACTGATTTGTTCCCAAAATTGAGAGCAGAGCCACAGAGTAGAATTAGAAACTAGTGCATAGATGAGAAAATGAATGAAGGCATGGGGTTTCTAACTGAGAAAAAGTTACATTTTTTGGCAACTATCTACTGAGTTGAGCTTCAAGCTCTTCCATTTGTTTTCTTTGCAAACCATTTTTTTTTCTCAGCTATTCCAGGCTCTGTGCTTCTTGTCTTAAGTTTTGAGGAATGCCCCAGATTTCAGAGACTCACTGGTATTTCAGTTAGAAACACATTGACTTAGCACACTAACTTGATGGGCACACGTTATGTAAACACGTAATCTCCATGGATGTCAGTTTTCTCTCATTTTTTTCAATTGTGGTCAGTAAATTCAAAAGTAAACAGCATGCACATCTCCTCATAGATTTACCAGGGTAGTGCAGCTGTTGGCTGCATCCCATAATAACTGCAGTTATTCTCATGCCCAGTCACTGGTGGGAATATCAGTCATTTTTGGTGTGCTGGTCTTCTAAGGTATTTTGTCAGTTGACTGTCTGTGGTCTGGGGAGGAGAATGAGCAATCATGTCTCCTGTGGTTGAGTACTATTTGAGTTACTGGTCTCTACACATCCCTCTAGTTGATTGTTTTCATCATCTTACAGCATTGGTTTTCTACTTACAGGACAGAGGCAGGGAGCACACACATCCGTTTTCATGGCAATGCTTCTAAGGCTGTGTGGTCAGTTATGATGTTTATTATTGGCTTAGCATAGGCATCCCATTTCCCTCATAACTAGCATGTATGATTTTATTATGAATCAGTGTTGAATTTTATGGATTGCCTTTTTTCTTCATGTGCAATGTAATAGATTAAATTAATCTATTTTTCTCCAAGGAACCATGGTTCCATTTCCAGGATAAACCCACTTTTCATGTCATCATTATAGCCAGCTGAATTGTGTTAGTATTTTCCTTCAGATTTCTGAAATGATGAGCATTAATTAGAAAGATTGTCTTTGTTGTTTGCAGTGCTGGAGACAAAATCCAGGGCTTCATGTGAGCTGGACAGGCTCTCTCCCCTGACAATCGCACAGTCTAGTAAGATTGCTCTTGCATTTTCATTTCCTGTAAGGTACTCCTCCACTTTCTTTGAGGAAGTCAAGATTATTCTAGTTTCATGGAACAAGCTTCTTGCATTTCCCTCCTATTTTAATTTTCCAGAAGCGTTTGTGTAGAATAAAGTTTGAATATCAGCAGGCAGCTGCTCCCTTACATTGAGTACCACTAGATTTCTGATTCTATCTCTTTAATGTTTATGATTTAGATTTCCTATTTGCCTTGAAAAATTGATTGCATGTTTCTAGAAAATGAGAAATTTACTCATCTTTTCATAAGTGTTGCACTCAAGATGATAGTTTTTTTTTTTTAAATTTTTCTTTGCTGGTGGGATGAATTTGTCTTTCGTTTGTTTATCTTGCTTCTTATTGACTTGAGATATTTGTTTCTCTATTAACTCTGTTATAGATTTCTATGCCTTGGCATTCTTTTCAAAACCCCACCTTTAGGTGCTGTCACTCCACTGGTCCAGTTTCACACTTAATTAGCTTTGATGCCTATCTTTGTAATGTCTATATTCTTATGTTGTTTATGGCTATTTTATTTATTTTCCTTTGGGTTTTTGTGTTCAACATTAAAATGCTTTAGTTTCAAACTTTCCCGATTTGTAATAAACACTTTTCAAAATAAAAGTTTGCTAGAAATACTACTTGCAATTTGTGATTTAAAAATTTTGCATTATAATTTCCCTATAAATTGAAAGTTATTTTAGTATATTTTAAGTTTGTGGTCTGCAAAGCATCTACCATTGTGCTTTTTGTTTGGGCAGAGAATGAATTCTTGGTAATTCTACACGGTCCATCTGCTTCTAGCAGCACACACACTAAACCAGGCCTTTCAAAACTAGTTAGTAGCCAAGAATATTGGCTTGTCCTCCAAATTTAATAATCTCCTTAGCAAATTCTCATCTGAGAATGTGGGCTTTAAAAATGAGTTCAAACACAGTAGCCTAGCTGACTTCAAAGCTGAGTGTGAGTAACCATTTTATATTGAATTAGTCAAGCCAAGGAGAAAGAGAGAGAGAGAGAGAGAGAGAGAGAGAGAGAGAGAGAGAGAGAGCATTATTAACAACATTCAATTGTTCA